TTATACTATTGTTATGTAAATGTAACATTGGAGCAAAGCGGATAAAAGACACACAGACTGGGCAGCACCTGTGGCTCAGTGAGTAGGGCACCAGCCCCACATACTGAGGGTTCAAACCTGGCCCCAGCCAAACTGCAACAAAAAAAATAGCCAGGCATTGTGGTGGGCACCTGTAGTACCAGCTACTCAGGAGGCTGAAGCAAGAGGATTGCCTAAGCCCAAGAGCTAGAGGTTGCTGTGAGCTGTGACACCACAGCACTCTATTGAGGGTGACAAACTGAGACTTTGTCTTTAAAAAAAAAAAAGACTACACAGACCTTTCTGTGCTATTTTACAGCTTCTTCCTTCAGAATAAAAAATTAAATTAAAACGGCCAGCTTGCTGGATAATGCTTTTCTTTTATTGTCTGGGTGCTCTGTAGTCCCTTTGATGTGACTGGTTCAGTGTCTTGTGGCTACAGCACAAGGGGAAACTTACCTTTTCTCATAAAAGTTCAGTAAAAGATCAACTCACAATTAAGGTTTATGTACCATATGAAAGGTGTAAGTGGTGGCACCTGGAGGCGAGACCAGAACTGAGATGTTAAGGCCAGGTCATTGAAAGGAAAAGGTGACCCAGCTGGACAGTGAAAGTGGCATCTGCACTGAGGGTGGCAGTTACAGACCTCTTTTATATGCTGTAGGGAGTGCGCAGATTTCACAGCTTGCCCTGGAATGTTAGGGTCCTTTGGAGCTAACCACATTCTTTGTGTCTTTGTTTTAAGAGGAGAGGAGGAGAAGGAGGAGGGGGAAGGGTTTGTATGTGGCTGCGTTAGGCCCCCTAACACCATGCACATTGAGAGATTTACAGAGTTATTACCCAATATCCCAATGGGATTCAGACATTTTTCTACATGCCTTTTAGAGAGGAGGGGGAAGATGAGGAGTATGCATGGTAGGTAATTCTGTGTAGGGGTGATAAATATTTGCTAGAGAGGATGAATAGACCCTTGGGAGAATGAATGGATGTATGGAGGAGTGGATTTACTTGTATATTAACCTGAGAGACAGGTACAGTGTTTAAAATAATGTACCAAGTCTGGTTGCATTTTAATCTTCTTTCCTGCAACATACTGAGATAACAAGGAGAGGGAAGGAAGTCAGTTATCCTCTTGACTGGTTGATGCAGATAGAGGGCAAGTCTTTTCCAAGGCCTGTTGTGCTCCAAGAGCCTTTAATTCAAAATATTCCTTATACCAGAGGAACTCTTATGCACTGTTGGTGGGACTGCAAACTCATACAGCCTTTTTGGAAAGAAGTAATAGGAATCCTCAAAGAACCCATTTTATCCTACAATCCCTTTACTAGGAATCTAACCAGAAGAAAAAAATAATTTTACCATAAGGACATTTTCACTTGAATATTTATAGCAGCTCAATTGACAGTTTCAAAGTTGTAGAAACAACCCAAGTGCCCATCGACCTATGAACAAGTGAATAAACTGTGTTATATGGAATACTGTTCAGCCCTTAAAAATGATGGAAACTTTACATTTTTTGCATTTACCTGGCTGGATTTGAAGAACATCTTCCTAAGTAAAGTGTCTCAAGAAAGGAGAAGCAAGCATCCCATATACTCAGGACTAAGCTGAAATTAGTAGATCAACAACTACAGACCCACTTGAGAGAAAAAACACAATTAAATTCAAGACGAGGGAGGTGTGTTCTGTAAGTGCCCACCCAACAGGTACCTCTCAGGTACAGTGGAGTCACGTTTGACATGCCTCCTGGGTGAGGGACTCAGGAACACGGACTCTACCTTACAAAAACACAGTGTAACCTAATCACACACGTCCTCATATCAATCTGAAATGAAAAAACTAACTGAAAAAAATTTTGTTTTTTTTTGGCTGGGGGTGGGTTTGAACTTGCCACCTCCTGTATATGGGGCCGGCACCCTACTCCTTTGGCCCTGAAAAAAATTCTTTATACCAACGAGTCATATTTTGGGGTGAAAGTTTCTCCTTCATGGAAAAACAACTGGCATGAACGGCTGTTGGTCTACTTAATTCTGATACAATGTCCCTACATTTTAGGTTTGGAAGGGGTGCTGTCTAGCACTGGGCAAGTTTGTCTTTACCTGGAGGGCCCCAGGGAACCTCTGCCTTCTGCCATGGTTCAGGCAGTTGTCTGTATTCTTGGTTCTTGGTGTGCTCTTGGTCAAAGAAAGACCAGCCCCCAACAAAAGGAAGGCAACTGTGAAACAAAGTTTGTTGAGAAAGAGAAAGGTAGGTTTACAGTGCAAGATGGGTCCCCTCGTCATGACAAAAAGCCCTGGGAGTAGTCTGGGCTCCTGTTTATACTGTCTGTGTGGGGCCCTCCTCATGGTTCAGACATTGCTACGAAATTACTTTGATGGACAGTTAATAACTTGACATGATAATTAGCCATTGGTTACTCTAATTTGAGTCACTTTCCAAATCCTATTGTGCCTAAGCTGCGTGGCCCTCAGGGTATTCCTCCTTCCCCCAGGCTGCTCAGGATAGGATGAAGGTGGGACAGGCCCAAGATGGGGCACCCTCACCCTTCTTCCCAGGTGGGGCAATTGCTTGAGGTAGACCAAGGCAAAACACCCACTTTGTCCCTCTGGAGAGTCTCAGAGATCCCTTGCTGTCTACCCGATAGTTCTATGGAAAAGTAGGTGGTGATTATGAGCAAAGACCTCCAAGAGAAAAAGGTATCAGGGACAAAGACTGGAAGGACCTCTCAATTCAACACAAAGTCATCATGATTCTCTTTTATTTATTTATTTATTTTTGCAGACCCAGTTAAAGAAAAATCCTAGAAGGCGGCTTTCCTGGCCAGAGCTGGAACACTTGTCGCAGAGTGTCTTCCAATGACCCGCTACAGAACCAGCTGGGAATGGAATGGGCACCTCTGCTGGGCTTTCTTTTCCTCCTGTTTTCAACCGAAGCCAGCAGAACACTATGGGCTCTCCAGACGCCATCCCAGGAGGTCATGATTCTCTTTGTTTAATTATTCATTTCAATGTAATTCAGTGCAAATTTTATATAGGGATAATGACACCTTAGTGGGACATTAGCAATGGGAGCTCTGTGTTCAAACTACAG